CCTGAGCCTAAATACTGCTTGGTATTCCCTTAGAAACAGTGAACAGCTCTATGAGTGGAGGCCATCTTGCTGCTTGGCAGTCATGCTGCGCTGTGCCATGCCATGTGCTGGTGCAGGCAGTCTAAATCTAGGGCAGCAGGAAGATATAAAACACTGAAATGAATTACTGAAACTGAGCTACTGTTCAGAATATAGAAAACATAGCAGGAAGCCAGTGAGTAGATTATCTGAAATATATAAATACAAAGAAACGTCACTGGAAGAGTATAGGTACCTGAGGTTTTGCTGCTAGCAAGCTACACTGCTTGTATCTCACAGCTCAGTGCGCATTTTGTGTTACAAATGCAGATAACCATGCTGATGTGAATTCGACACGTGCATAAATAAGTGTTTAAAGATTTTGACTATGAGTGGTAGCTAGGCTTGGGCAACATGTGTCAGATTCCTGACACGCCTTCTCAGGGTAAAACTTCACTCTTTTCAGCCTCTAGTTCAATCAGTTCAGTGTCAAGTTTCTTCTCTGCTGCAACCCACTGCAGAGACACTGGAAAAAGATGCAACTTCAGTTTTTGGAGCAGAAGTGTCTTCTCTGTTTCTGCCATGGGATATATTGACCATTTCCTTTATTAGTTCATTAGTTCTGGTTCCTTTGAACTACCTGTGGAGGTTGAAAGGAAGCCAAGCTGTATGAGAATCCATTTAGAACCATTTAAGGCACACGAGCTGTAGATCTGGTCTTGGCTTTGTCATCTATAATTGCTGGAGTTTCAAAGGGTTAGTTAAAATATGCATTTTTGTTGAGCTGTCCAAAATAGACTCTAGAGTAGGGTTGCAAATTCTTATTGATTTTTCTTTGTGAGCCCATTTGTTCCTTTTCCCTTACCTGAAAGTGGGGAAAAAAAAAAAAAAAAAAAAATCTTCTAACCCATGTGATATTTCTCAAAGCATCTTGGTTTTACTTTTGTCAAGAAATGAACTTGCCATATTAGCTCATGCTTCCAAGATTGAATCTGTTACTGATTTATCTTTGAGACTTGTAAGATGTAATCTTCCACTGTTCTAAAAATGCAGCTTGTTGCAATGCAAGCAACTGCAGCACTGCTGTGAGAAATGCCTAGTAAAACAATGATGCTGATTATTGTTTACATTAAGAATTCCAAGTCTGTCTTGGATACATTTGGACAAGGAAAATTCTTTGAAAGCATCTGTGTTGTAAGCATATGCATGTGGTCTGTCATCCAAAGATTGTTTGCAATTATCATGCAGGTACTTGCTGTCCATGTGGTGTTGTGCTCTTTCCCCATCCTTAACCTTTTCCTCTTCATCAGTAAAGTGCTCTGTTGAGGGGTAGTGCTGGTTATGTTTTACCCTTACATGCTTTTGCTCTGAGTTGAAAGGCAACAAGACAAAGCTCGCTATATTACAGGGTATGACAAAAGGGAAAATTTATTTTGATTTCAAATGATAGGATATATGTGCGTGTCAATTACATCTTCCAGAGAACTTCAGGTACTGCTAAGTAATCTTTGCTTCATAATTGAAGTATCCTTTAAGAACATGTTTTCCCATCCTGGAACGTGCTGACAAACGGATTACACCTTGGCCAGCTTCTGTAACAAACAACAGAAGCATCAGTCCTAGGGATGAACAGACTCCTTCAAAGGTTTTGATTCATGCCTAGACGAGGTTCATTATGTGTGCTGGATGGTGACTGGAGACCTCTGAAATATTACAATGGTTGTGTAGTTAAAGATGAGTGTAATACATATGCAGAAGAGTGTAAGATGCCAATTATTGCATTTTCTCATTTTATTTTAGTGTTGTAACACTGCAAGTATTTTTTGGCAGTGTTTTGTTTGTGTTTTTAATTAATTAACAGAGACAATTTGTAGATGTCGTATTTTGTGACATTTTCAATGAATTGTGAGATATTTAAAGATAGAAAGCTGAGACTCAACTTCAGCTGAAGGTCCAGTTTTGCTTTGTGATCTTTCAAGAATTTGATCCTGCATAAGCATTTATAATGTTTTGCTTTGTGTAACACAAACTTTGAGGACACCTATTCAATGAATGAACTTAAAGGTAGCAGACAAACTGAGAGTTAAGTTCTGGGACCCATATTTTCTTCAGTTGTTATTATTAAGCTGTTCTTCTTTCAAGATGAGAGCACTGTAAGAACTGAAATATGCTATCATATATACTAGCAACTAACAGGGAAGGAGCTGTTGTCTGTACAAAGCAAAAGTACAATCCAATTTTGGCAGACTGGACTTAATTTTCTCCTGGCTTTTGGTGATTGCTTTTTAGCTAAGTGCAGTGCCTTGTAGCTGAAGGTCTCTTTTATCCATGATTTAAGTCTTTAGTTTAGATCTTTGTCTCATTTAGGCCCCAGCAGATTTTGCAGACTTGTAGGATTATCAAACTGCTTTTCCAAAATTTTTTAGTATGCTTTATCATTCTGTAGCATATATTTTGATTTCTGATCATGCTCCTATTCCCAAATCAATTTGCAGCATTTTCATGTGCTGCTGGGGGCCTTTATGGATTGTTTCCATTGCTGGGATTGTTTGGCAGCACATGGGCAGTCTGATGAAACCATGCAAAAGGCAAAGCTGGGAGACAGAACAGTATCAACTCGCAAAACCAAGAGAAACTGTTCCTGCTGAGAAATAAGGAAACATCACCCTTTCTGTGTGTGCAGGAACACAAGGCTTCTTAGAAGAAATTACTGAATATATGAAACAATATGTGCTGAGTACCAATAAATTTCTAGTGGAGTTAAAGCTCCTAAGAAATAAGGTAGCAGCCATTAGGAGCTGGAATGTTAGCTCTGGTTTGTTTATCACCCACTCTAGAAAATCTGTAGTGAGCATGCATTATACTTAAGTATACAACATAGTCATAAAAATTAGTGAAGTCTAAATTTCCACCGTACATCAAACTAAATCAAGTAAAGGAAAGTGTAAGAGTTTTGATGGAACTGATCTTCCTATGTCCAATGTAGGTGCAATTTCACCTTGAAAGTATGTGGCAGCTTTGTACTCCTCTTTAAGGCCAGAAGGGTTCTGCATTCTAACAAATCTGCGCTGTACCGTAGCCTTGCCTTTTGTTCCATGGTCTTCTTCCCCCTTCCTTCTCATGTGCGTCTGTTTGTGCAGCTCCCCGGGAAGTTTTACAACAGGACCTTCCATAGATTTGCAGCTGCATACTTAGAATATAACATTCATGTTAGTACAGGACAGTTAAAGTCAATTTGTAGGCTTGGTCCTCTTCTGAACTCTTTCCTCCTGACTTCTAAGACTGTAATCTTGGAAATGTTTAGATTTGGAATAAACTATCATTGTGGCAAAAAACATCACTCCTGCCTTTGTGCTCTCCTGACACTGTTGGGTTTTGCCAGCTAAGCTCTCTGTGTAGTAAGCCAGATCAGGGGACTGATCTGACTGAAAAATACTTCCTCTACCATATTTAGGATTTAAGCTACATGTTTGCTTATGTATTTTTCTCTTCTAAAAAACACGATGGTTAAATAACACTGGAGCTCCTCATAGTACAGAATATTAAAAACTTAGAAGAAACAATTAGCAGTGACTAAAATTCTTACTATTTTTACTTTGGGAGGAGCAATGTCCCATTTAACAGTCCTTAATGTATCACAAGAATGTGGGTGTGGTTTTTTTGTTTTGTTTGTTTTTTTTTTTGTTAGATATATCAGGGAAAAAAAAAAACACTTTTTTTTTTACCCACCCCCAAGACTTCTTTTAGACTTCCTGGGCATAAATTTTCTTTCATATGCTATGTGTTGACATGCATGTATTGATCTGTTTGGGAAGGTGAGTAAGTTCACTTTTAAATAGCATACGAACATTGGTTTTCTAAGCAGCAGTCAAAGGCCTTTGGATACTGCTGCTTCTGGTCTAAGGATTTTAATTTTTATTCTCCCAAGCAAGAGTATTGTCTTGTTTCAACCAGCATGTGGAAAACACTGTTCTGGGAATTTTGAGAGCATAAATGTGATACTGAAGGTTTTACTCTGCACAACAGACTCTAGTAATTTCAGCATAATATTCTGAACTAAAAACCTTGTAAAATATCTGTGATCTTTACGTACTCTTGGTTTGCCTTTTTAATGGTAGTGATGAAATTAAGAAAATTAATGTTTTCTAAAAACTGTCTGACTACAATGGGAAGATGGGCCATTTTGTTATGCTGTCCCACTGCATTCAGCACTCTATAGATATCAGTGAACCAGAGATCAGTAAATCTCCATAAAATTTTTCACAAACTTTGAAAGTGGTTATTTTTATAGACCCATTGTATTTTTTTTAATTATTTTTTAATTACATGAAAACAGAAGATGAACTGCAGCAAAACAATAAAAATGAGATATCCATACAATACAAAGCCCTTACTCAGGTTTTTGAGTACCCTATTCTGAAAGCGCGTCATCTCCTATCTCGTACTTTGTTTTGACTTGCTTCGAATGTACTCTTTTTAAAGCACTGAGATTTGTGTTAGATTTATGAAAAATATCTTGGTACTTTCTGGGACAGATATACCTGCTGGTTTGTTGAGCATTGCTTGCTTCTGCTTTGTGTTATGGAAGCACTGTGACAGAGGGCAGATAACAAGGCTGTAAAACAAATATATCTGAACTCTGAAGTAATGCCACTTCTCCAGTAGATACATGAATATATCTGTATTTCCAACTTACTTAAGTATTAATATTTGCAATTAACTATTTTTCATGTGTATTTTCAGAAATATTGCGAAACTTCTCTGTCTATGCTGATGAGAGCAGTAGTTAAAAATAAAGAGTATAATTTTAACAGGTGTAGAGGCTTATCTTTATAAATTTATTTTGTAATATAAAAAGAATGTATCAAAAAGGAAAGTAGAACTGCATTTTGGAGTTCTCTAAAATGAGAAATGAGCCTTTGCTAGAAAATGATTAGTCTGTAACAGTCTCTTTCCTTTTTTTTTTTTTTATTTCCTTCTAGGACCGGAATAGGCCCTATGACACTTTTAACTTGCACTCTTTGGAAAATTCCTTAATGGATATGATAAGGACTGATCATGAGCCTCTGAAAGGTAAACACTACCCTCCCAGTGGCCCACCAATGAGTTTCGCTGATATAATGTGGAGGAATCATTTTACAGGTTAGGAATATTCATATGTCCATGCTTGCTTGGTTTTTAAACAAAAATCAGCTTTTCAGTATTGCTATGAACTTTTTGCTAATGAATGAGTTGTCAGCTATGTCATACTTCTGTTTCTCATCTTAGGATAATCATCTCTATAGTAGGAAGATAAGGTGAAATGTGTACTCACTTGGTGTAAGTGCACAATCATAATATTATCGAATAACTGCCATTTCTGAAACTTTGTGCATCACCACATTGCACTGTTCAATTCACAAAATGAGTAGTATGAGTAGTGCAACTGGAGTCCAGTTATATTGAAAAATCTTGTACAGTGTTAATATTACTGTTGTTTACAGATCATCAGATAATATACAGGGATCTGAAAGTGCCACTGTGTCAAGCTTACTCTCTGTGATTATTTAAGGATGGTTTTAAAAAATGTATCTTGATTTGGATTTCAGGACATTAGGAGGCACCAGCAAGTATTAGGTATTGTTAAGCATTAAGAAAGTTTGCTTATTTATGCTACTGAACTGTATTTGTTCTACCAGATGCAGCAGTGGAGATAAAAATTATTTCTAGTGTTTAGCTGATATAGAATAGTGAAAGGTTGCACAAGCATTTCAGTGAATCCTAATTGTCTGTCACAGTTCTGTCTTTATCTTTCATTGGTTATGTTTCAAAACAGGTATACATTCTTGCTCACTAGCTACTAATTTTTTTTTTTCCTTTGAAGACTGAAGCCAATAGTAGGCTATGTGCTAGGGGACATTGAGCTAGAAAGAATTCCCAAATTTTAACATACTGGAATTGATAGAGAAGAAATTGTTTTGTATAATTCTTTCTATGCATATGCATACCTTTCTGATGCAACTATTACCTCAACCATTCCAAACTCAGGTTAAAACAGCTGAGACTCTGTAACTGTGCTTTCCTCAATTATTCTGTGCTATAGCCTTCATACTTCTGTCTTTAACTATTATTCAGCTGTCTAAAATGGCAAGAAATATTCACATCTCTATTCTGATCATATTCCTCCAACATAAACGTTAATTTGAAACTTCTTTGAAAAAAAAAAAAAAAAGATTTCTGCTTCATATACATTCAACGACTGGTATTTTCCATGTACATTTTAAAATGAAGTAAAGTCATAATCAACAACAAAATTACTATGAAGCAGATTTAATTGTGTTCTATTAATTTGTTTAGCTCAATACGGTGTTTTTACATTAAGTATAAATTTAAATATATGAATTGAAACTCACTCTTTTAAAGGCTGAATTTTCGTATGATCCTGAGAATGAAAAAAGTGAGGAAGACTATTAGAAATTGTGTTACTCTAGAAAAACACTTTAAAATCATAGAAAGCAATTTGGCCTATACTTTATTATTGTCCCTTAACAACAGTTTTAAAAACGTTTTAGATTAGAATATTAGCCAATAAAATAACAATGGGTACAAATACTTAAGTATTTGGTCTCGTTGACTCATTCTATCACAAAGCTGAGATAGTCCCTGTAAGTGTTGGTGCTTTGTTGTTGCCTCAGTGCATGAGATAACATGAGATTCTTGGCTTTATAAAGCATCTTCTTGCTTTTCAAGCAAAGTAGCTTCTTGAAAGTGAGTAAATAAATCATTTTCACCTCTGTGAGGTCATTGACTTGTGTAGGAGGCTGTACAGTTTAACAAGATACTTGAAAGCAGTAGAAACAGTTTTCCCTATACTCAAAGCAGTAAACAAAGGAGTTGGATATTAATTGTAAAGCTTTAGTTGATCTGTTCCATTTGCCAATAGGATTGTTACCTTTACCTAAAGAGTTTCTGTTGCTTACCGAATGTGCTCTTCCTGACATATTTTCTGAGTGCTGCTCACCTGTTTCAGCCTTCCTGCCTTGTTACTTAGTGCTCTTCCAGGCCAGTAACTTCTGGAGAATTCTTGTTTACTATTAGATCTCTGATTCCATCTCTGCCCAGCTGTTGTTTTTCCATTAATGTAGTTAATTCTTACCCTTGCTTTCATTTTTCCCTCCCTCGAAGTGCAGGAATGACTTTGCTAACTTCCAGCCTTTGCTTGACCTTGTGTGCACTTCCCTCTGCTCCAGTTCTCACACTATGCAGTGCAACTGACAACGTTTGTAAGAGTGGCTGTTCTCTTACATGAGGGTAAAATGATCATGTCCTCATGACTCCTACAAGTGCTTTCTTCCCCTATGTTAAATATCTCTGCAGTACTATTTTAACTGATTCCTTTTTATTTAGAAACAAAAAAGCAATAACAAACAAAGCTGCAAAATCATTCTGCTGTTGCATTTTCATGGTCTTTCTAGTGAAAATTGGTCTTGACTCTTCCCCTGCATCTCCCACTTTCTCCTTCTCCACAGAGAGTGTTTCAACTGCCCTTCTCTGCACTTCCCTCAGATTTCACTTCACTTTTGGCTTTATTCTTATCTATCCCACACTCCTCACTCTCCCACTTACACTATCAGCACATTTTAGTTTGAGAACATAACTGATCAGCTTTGCTTGCATTTGCTTGTTTCACCAGCCATTGCCCCATTTTTATTTGTTTTCATCTCTAAGTTTTTTGAATATTGTGTTTATGTACTTCAGTTTGAATTTTCAGTTCCTCATAGGCATTCCTTTGTGAATGCTTCTTTGCTAAATTATAACTGCTACTTCTGGAATCTTAGTAATTGGCTCTTTGAGCTACTTCCTCTTTGATTTATCTTTTGTCTTTCATAGTGTATTGTGTGTTTTTCCCTTTAAAATCTTCCCTTCCTCTAAGATCTGTGACCATCTTTTCTTAGGTTTTGCACAGTGTTTTCATGCACGTGTAGAATGTAAAACAACCACAAAATAAGTAAATAATAATAAAAAGCTACATTAAAAAAAAACCCAACAAACCAAACACCAAAAAGCAGAACCACAAACAGTGTTTATCTTTTGGTAAATGAGCTTTGTTTTCTCAAACAATTTTACCTATCAGCACTTACAAGTCAGTTGACCTTATTAATTGTTTTAATATTTACTATTTTAAATAATAGTTTTTAATAATATTTTAAATAAACTCTCTTTAAAAACTTTTAAAGTTTTTAAATGAAAGAGATGAGGTGACAAGTGGCAAAAGCCTCTGCCTTGGAAAGCATGGGAAGGTTTCATTCTAGCAAAAGCTATACAGTCTTAGAACTTTAATGTGAGTTACAAAGCCAGTGCAGCTATTTCAGGATCATTCCAGCCTGCTGCTGTCAACAAATATCTATTTATAAAAGTATTCTGTGTGCTATTTAGTAATTAGTGGAATATTGCCAGTGATTTATCTGAAGTTTCAATCATTGCTTAGATCATAGCCCCTCTTGGCACATGTGCCCCCACCCTCCTCTCCCAACATCTTAACAGACACTTGAACAAAAAAAAAATTATGTAACAAGGGCTCTTGATTAGAAAATGGATAGGAAAGTTAACAGGGAAAGATTCTGATATGAAAAGCAAACAGATGATTCTGGTCTCTTGTTATATCTGGGTCAGTCAGTTCTGTGTGCTCCACTTTGTTCAGTGAGGGGCGAGGGAGAAGTTCAGGGCTGTGAAAGGAAGTCTGTCCTCTTATTTATAGTAGTGGAAGCTTCATTGGATTTAGAGGTGTATGTGATCAAATTTTGTACTGCAGGCCATGAAAGTCAACAGTTTATTTTCAAGGTTGTTGAAGCAGGTCACTTCTCTCAAAGCAGGATCCACTTGGCTTTGAGATGGCATGCTATTTGGTGTCTTTTTTAGTGTTGGTGCAACTATGGAATAAGAGAGATACTGAAAGATTTTAGTGCAACAGAAATGAAGTGATCCTTGGTCTCACAATATTGAATTACTTGACAGAGTACAAATTCAACCTGATTGGCAGGCTTGCTTGGTCCTCTCCAGCTAGGGTCACTTAGTTCTCTTTGGGTGTTTCATGCTGTAAGAGAGATTTGATATCTAACTTAGAGGTTCCTGGACTTAGATAAATTAACAGCTTATCCTTCTATGTTGCAATTTATCTTGAGCCCAGCCTTGGAAGTTTTCCAGCATCAGCTCTTGCTGTTTTTCTGTCTGAAACCAATTCCTTTCCCCTTAACCCCCAGCTTTTCCTGCCAGATAGGAATACCTTGCTTGTAGGGTCCTTTCTTAGTCTGGGAGCTGTGTATAGGCTGTAAACTCTCTATAAAGAATTTTCATTTTCTTCCTCATCCACTCAGGTGGACTGCCTTACCTTACCAGCTTTCTCTGCTATCAAATTTTTTTCAATGTTTTTTTTCCTCTTTCCATCTATATTCAAAAGATTTTTCTCTTTTTGTAAAAATGAGGGAAAGATTAGGCAAAAAGTAGAGCAAAAGGACTGATAAGGTTCCTCTGGTTAAAGATAAATTACTGCATATGACCAAGGACATCTTGCTTTGTGTCTGTCATGACCCAGCCTATGTGGCAGAAGCAGTATTTTGAGATGTTTTTTTGAGTTGCCTGTCTTATTTTTCTGAGCTACCAATAAAATATATCATACACTGCAGAAACACAGAGATCTGTATTTTTTTACAGAGGAGAAGTGTATTTGCAATAGTTCATAACCTGTTGGTATACATGTCTTGCTTCTACCTAATTCAGTTTTACCTTACAGTATTATCAGAATATGAGTAGCTGCTACTTATTAGTGTCTAAAATGTTTCTTTCTTACATCAAAGTCTCTCCTATGGTGTAATATGTCACTGTTGCAATATGTTTATCTGTGTCAAAATATTGCATTGCAACACAGAGACGTTCTGATCTATTAAATATATTTTGATCAGTAGTAACTAGCAGCTGCCTTTGTTCTATTTTTAAATAATTAAAATATTTCATCTGTTCATATGTTATGCACATGTGCTCCCACAGATCATGAAGCTGAATTAAAATATGAAATTGAGGTGGGACATCATAGCCCTATGAAACATTTGTTTTTAATGTCTTCTGTTACGGTGGAATAACTGTAATATATTTTGCAATGTGCAAAT